AAGGAAGGGAGGTGTAGTTCGGCAGTGAAAGCCCAGACAGCAGCTGAAATCTCTCAGTAGTTCTTCAGCAACCCTCTGCCTGTCATCTGTGTAAATGAATATCAGCTGCTTCAGTCTAACATCTACATTAGCAGGAGGATGAAGATGAAACCAGGGTGGACATTTCACCAAGACAATGATCCAAAACACAGCCAAGGAAACTCTCAAATGCTTTCAGAGAAAGAAAATCAAGCTGTAGAATGGCCCAGCCGATCACCTGACTTGAATCTAATAGAGAAAAAAAATCATATTTGATAGGCGAGACCCACAGAACCATCAAGATTTTCAGATTCTGTTGAAGTCTGTGAAAAACTCACCTGAGCAGTGGACTTAATCCTTCATTTGAGAGGCGTCTTTAAGCTGCCATCACTTTTTATTTAAAGTATTAACACATTTCAGTAGTTCAGCTCTCTTTGTGTCATTCCATTGTTAATACACACAACTCGTCTTTCAGATATGTTTTGCTTACATTTTTGTTTGTTTTCTTTGGGTTTTTACCAAAATCTGTTTCAATTCCATGTCAACAGCTCCTTTAGAAGTATTATTCCCAGGAAAAAACATGCTGTGCTCAATACTTATTTTCCTCGCTGTATGTTCAAACACTGAACACGCCATTTTTGTAGATTTTAAAGGGATGTTTTAAAATTAAACTTTGCTATCCCTCCTGTCGTTTGAAACCTTTGAGTTTCTTTCCTTTGAAATACAAAAGAAGATGTTTTGAAGAAAGCTAAAAACGGGTAACCATTGGCTTCCACAGGGTCCCCGCGGCGTCTTAAAGTCTAAATTCGAAAAATCGAAATTTACGGCTTTAAAAAGTCTTAAATTCGCTGTTCTAGGTCTTAAATATTTTTGCACAGGTCTTATTTTTGCGATGTCCATGTAACGCTACATCTAATGCTCATTTAAATTCTTTTTGTTGTTGTTGCTTGGTTTTTGGGGTGTTGTAGTTATTTATTTTACTAGTCCAATTGTAATTTGCGGTATTACAAAAGGTCAGCTTGCAATAGCCAATCAGCTTTCTGTTATTAAACTCAGTGCAAGCGGCGAATGTGACGTCATCGCTGTGTTTGGGGGAAGTTCATTTTGAGTGCACATGACATGATTTCGGCTGGCAGAGTATGCCGTTATTTCACTGACAAATGTCGTAAGCGCAGTTTTATAAGTCGGGAGCGCTGTAATACTAGAGAGCGAATCTCTGCTCACGCGCCGGTTTCCTCTGTTCGTGGACAAAACTGCCCGCGAGCTCTCAAAACACTGGCTGCTCACGTGCGAATGATCTGCTCTCACTCCGTCGGACTCTGTTCGTGCTTTTGCTCTCCAGAGAATTTTGTGCTTTTACATTTTCTCTCGCGTGTTTTTGCTATTGCAATATAGGTCTTAAATTTAATGCTTAATGGTCTTAAAAAGGTCTTAAAAAGTCTTAAATTTGACATCATGTTATCTGCAGAGACCCTGCTTCCATAGTAGAAAAAAACAATTACTATAGAAGTCAATGGTTACAGGTTTCCAGCGTTCTTCAAAACATCTTCTTTTGGGGTTCACAGAAGAAAGAAACTCTTAAAGGGTTTAAACAATTAAAGGGTGAGTAAATGATGGCAAAATTTTCATTTTGAATTTTCCATTTGACCCTGTAAAGCCAAATTTGAAATAATAGTGAGATATAATTATTAAAACGAAGCAAGTTCATTGAACATTTAGATGAAATATAAAAAAAATTATTTGCATGTTTTTTTTTCTTCTAATATTTAGTGCATTTATAGCACACACAGCATGATATAGTGAGGATATAGTTAGACCAAGAAAACAATATGAGAGGCTTAATAATGTGAAGTAACCCTGTTTGTACTCTCCAGGCCTTATATGAGCTTTTGAAGTGTAACTACAATGTCCCGGAAGCTCTTGAACGGTATCGCAGCAATGACAAATCCTCGAAGGGTAAGTGCATGCAGAGATAATAGCTGTATTGTTTTGGAATAGCAGTGATTGAAAATAATTACATTTTTATTATCATTATTTAGATGAGATGCTTCCTTGGTCTGAAGAAGAATGCCGAAATTTTGAACACGCTCTTCTGTTGTACGAGAAGAACTTCCACCTCATTCAGAAACACAAAGTAAGATGTTCTGCTTTATTATTAGTAGTAGTAGTATTATTAGTATTACATATATATATATATATATATATATATATATATATATATATATATATATATATATATGATGCCACTATGAAATGCTACTTTAACCCTCTGGCGTGCTTTATTTAAGAATCACACTTGGGGACTTTAATTTTGAATAATAATCAAATCACTTTTATTGTCACATCATCAGCAGCATTAAAAGTGATTTGATTAATTTTTAATAATTTTAATACTAATTTTTGTTACTATATTATTTTGTATTTTGAGAAGGTTTTGTGGTAAAAATAATTTAATATGCAGTAATTAACATTTATTTTAATTAATAACTATTGTTTTTAATTATCGCAGTTTATCCAGGTACACTGAAAACCCTAACAAGTAGACGGAACGAAATTAGTTATTAAAGTAAGAAATTAATTTGTAAAGTAAACGTGTTGCCTCAATTTAATTGAGTAACGGAGTCTCCCAAAACTTGCATATTTAAGTTTATTTAACTTGCCAGTTTGGTAGATTATACTTAAATTGTTCAGTTCTGTGTGTGTGTGTGTGTGTGTGTGTGTGTGTGTGTGTGTGTGTGTGTGTGTGTGTGTGTGTGTGTGTGTGTGTGTGTGTGTGTGTGTGTGTGTGTGTGTAATTATAAACTATAAAAAAAATGTTTAAAAGAAAAATAAGTAGCCATTTATTCCCATTATGGTGAATAATTATACATGAATCCTCATTTTCTTATTTAAAAAAAAAAGGCCTTGCACTAAAAGGTTGCACATATTGAAATTTTACAGTCAAGACTACATTGAAAAAAAAACAAACAAAAAAACAGGTTGTTTTTAAAGGATTAATTGTAATTTTGAGCTTACAACACTTGAAAATTTTAGTTTATGCATTTTCATTGTATACAAGTTAAATTAACTCATTGATTAAGTAAAGACAACATTAGGGTTTACTGTGTAAGAGATTCTGCCATACAAAAACAAAAGGCAGATTCACACCATCTCAGTCTAAAACACTTCTTCTTGACGAGTTTTAGAAATTTAATGTTTAATTTAATGTTCATATTTTTGCTTATTTTCTATTTATTTCCTGTGGCGGTCATTTTTGACAGTGAAGACCACAAGTGTGACTTTTTTTCCCCCCACAACCATTTAGCATGCTTTAATTCTGACTTCAAGTGTGTGTGTGTGTGTGTGTGTGTGTGTGTGTGTGTGTGTGTGTGTGTGTGTGTGTGTGTGTGTGTGTGTGTGTGTGTGTGTGTGTGTGTGTGTGTGTGTGTGTGTGTGTGTGTGTGTGTGTGTGTGTGTGTGTGTGTGTGTGTGTGTGTGTGTGTGTGTGTGTGTGTGTGTGTGTGTATTGCTTTTATATATATATTTATGATTATTTTCTATTTATTTTATTATGTTTATTCATGTTTACTGTCTTCGTGCAAACAGCAGAAAGCTGATATTAAGCCAGTGGTTCTTGATTGATGGTATCTTTTCTGTGTTCAACTCCAGGTCAGCACAAGGACGGTGGCGGAGTGTGTTGCGTTTTACTACATGTGGAAGAAGTCTGAACGATTCGACTTCTTCGTCCAGCAAAACCGATTCGGAAAGAAGAAGTTCAGCAGTTATCCTGGCGTCACGTGAGTTTGTGCTCGTCTTCTGCTCTGTAGATGTTGAATTGTCAGCGTTTTGGAGGCTGATTGTGGTCTCTGCAGGGATCTGATGGACCGGTTGGTGGACGAGGCTGAGGGTTTGGTGGATGGATCTGCTTCAGTGTGTTCCAGCAGCAGCGGCAGGATCGATCCTCCAACCGAACAGCAGCTCAACATCCTCAACTCCATCACAGCCAGTGACCTCTCAGGTACATCATCCGACTATAACTTTATTTTTGTTTTAATTCTTTTGCGTTTTGCGCGTTGGTGTGCTCGATCACATTGACAGCCTTTATTTAGTGACTTTTATAAAGTTTATTTTCCACATTTTTATCTGTTTTTATGTCTGTTTGTTTTTTATAATTTTTATTATTTGTTTTTATTGTTCTTATACTTGTTTCTTTTATTCTTGTTTATGTAAAGCACTTTGAATTGCCACTGTTTATGAAATGTGCTATATAAATAAACTTGCCTTGCCTTAGTCACGAGGCGTTAAACGTCGACGGTAAACGCGAGCAAAAAACATCTCGGTGTGCACAGGCCTTTAGACTGCATTTACACGCAATTGACAAACAGTCACAGGCAAATATTTAACTTTAGTGACGAGGTTTAGGCAAGTGACAATCCTGTCTACTGTCCCGAGCGTCTCACACACTGGCCCTGGGCCATCGGGCAGTCCTTATTGTTGAGCCCTGTCATGTGTTATGTTTTGCTCTTAATGTCTTTTGTTTGTAAATGTTTTAATTATTATAGAAAAGTGATGTTAATAAAATTTGATCTGCTCTCTCTGTGGTTGATGCAGCCTATTTTTGGCTTCCAACTACCACATATTCACATATTTAATTCAGAATTGCTTCATTATAGCTTTCTTTATCTTTTAAATGTTTTTATTAAAAATACAGATGAAGTCAGAATTGTTAGCCCCCCTTTGATTTCTTTTTTTTTTTCTTATTTAAATATTTCCTAAATTATGTTTAACAGAGCAAGGAAATAATCACAGTATGTCTGATAATATTTGTTCTTCTGGAGAAAGTCTTATTAGTTTCATTTCGGCTAGAATAAAAGCAGTTTTTAATTTTTTAAAAGCCATTTTAAGGTCAATTTTATTAGCCCCTTTAAGCTTTTTTTTTTTTTCGATAGTCTACAGAACAAACCATCATTATACAATAACTTGCCTAATTATCCTATCCTGCCTAGTTAACCTAATTAACCTAGTGAAGCCTTTAAGGCCCAATCCCAATTCTACCCCATAGCCCTTCCCCTTACCCCTCGTTTTGCGCGTGCACATGAAGTGGTAGTGGTGTCCCAATTCTCTTTAGCTTGAAGGCGTTGGGCTAAGGGCAAGGGGTATACACCCCTTCAAACAAACACTTTTCAGGACCACACCCGAAACCAAGTGGTTGGAAAAATTTCCCAGAATACACCAGCCACAGCTGCACCCGGAAGTAAGGAGATCCACTAATTAGTTTTTTTTTTTTGTCATTATTACGAATTTTTACAACAAACAAACACATGTTTTAATATATTCATAACCATGTTCGTGTTTTACCGTCATGCTTTAAAAAAAAAGCTAAAATAAAAACCGCTACATTTTGCGATCTATAATCCCTAATAATAACTTCTGCACAGCAGTCCCACAACATTCTGACACTCGATGACACTGGAATACCCTGTCAGAAAAGTCTAGTGGCTGGGAATGAGCTGTTTACAGTGTCTGCTATGATGTTAATGTTGTTTTCTTTGAATATTTATCTGGAGAGACATTAAAGGAAATATTTGTAAATGTGGATCCATCTAAAATTGTAGAATTTTTATCAAAAGGAAACCTTAAACTGTTTTAGATTTAATCTTTATATTATCATTATTGTTATTTATGTATTTTACCCTGGACATTATTGATTGCTGTTGATGACTTTTAATTGTTAGAATATTTTTATAATTATAGAAAATTGTTATTTATAAAATGTGATAAACTTGATCTATTTTCTTTTTTGCCATGACATAGCCGTAGAAGCTGAAATGGCAATAAAATTAAAACTCTCTCTCTCTCTCTCTCTCTCTCTCTCTCTGTTGTTGTTGTTTGTGTGTTTACATTAATGAATATGGCCACTGTGTAAATGCACAGTACAGTTACGATCTTATTGCCACATTAGATCTTTATGATAACATGATATATGCCTTCAGTGATCTCCTGAAGATACCAAAAAATAACAACTGAAATCACTACAGCTGTCGCGTTCATCTGAACCCATATTACGAAGCAGGAGATCATGAGGACATATGATGACGTGTGCAGGTGCTGTAGTGCTGTCCCGATTCTTAGGAATAAATTTTGAAGCCCTTCCCCTTAACCCTCGGTTGCAAGGGCTAAGGGGAAGAGGGGTAGGGTACTTGAGTAGAATTGGGATTGGGCCTAAATGTCTCTTTAAGCTGTATAGAAGTGTCTTGAAGACTATCTAGTCAAACATTATTTACTGTCATCATGGCAAAGATCAAATAAACCAGTTATTAAAACTATTATTTTGTGTTGAAAACATCTTCTCTCCGTCAAACAGAAATTGGCGTAAAAAATAAACAAGTGGGCTAATAATTCATCTGCTTTCTTTTTGACTCAGCGCTGACGAGCACCGTGGCGTCGGTGTGTAACCCAGCAGACGTGAGCTGTCTGGACTCCTACAGCTTCTCTCCGCTGGACGCTCTGCACCGCGGGCCGCTGAGTCACGAGGAGCCGCTCAGCTACTCCAGCAGCGCAGACGGAGACTGCCTGAACCTGCTGGACTCCGGCTTCTACCACTCAGAGCTGGGCCAGATCAGTGTGTGCGGAGAGGACTGCGAACGACCCCCGGCCAAGCGGCTGAAGATGGGTCTCTCCGAACCCTTCATCAACGACAGCAGGAACATGGCGGTGGAGTTCGAAGGCCGCACGCACCACATCACACGTGCCAAAATGGCGGTTTCGGTCAGTGACTTCGGAGAGGCGGGCAGCTACATGGGCACACACACACTACATCAACACACAGCGCTGCAGTCAGAGTGACGGCGCGCAATAAACCTCACGGGACCACCTGCAATCAAACGTGTATATAACCGCTTCCCTGGATATTCCTCGTTTATTTCTAATTATATAAATATATATATATATATATATGTGTGTGTATATATGTACAGATTTATTCTTTCTAGCTTTGTTTTTACTATGACATCAGTGATGTCTAATTGTACAGACCTGAATCTTGATTTCTCAAGAGTTGATACAGCCATTTATTTTCCAGTCAGTGTCATAAACGTGTCCGAATACTGTGGAAATCTCGTGACGGGGAGTCGTCGCATGGCTAACTGATGGATCAACGCATTCGGCCTCCCTGTGGTTTCATCAGTGTTTACAGGTGCCTCGGCTCGCCAATACCACCGCCTGAAAGGCATTTACGACCACTCTTCACTTTCGTTTTTGCACCGTGGGGAAGCGGCTCTGTTTTCGTTGAGCACAAGAAATTCGTAAAGCGACTACGAACGTTTTCAGCCCTGGGAGATTTATCTATTGTTTTGACTGCAAATGTGTAGGCCCTAAATACAGCTAGTATAGAGGTGTTCTGAAGCGCTGCAATGAAGTGTGTGGTGATTCTTATTTGATATACTTTGCATATTTATTACGTTTCTTTTGTAATCATATTGATCAGCCGGGCGTATTTATTACAAGACTGCGTGATGGTCGCCGCTTAGCATTTTTCCGGCTGTTAATTACTGGCACATGTCGTTTGTTTTTGTTTGTGAGCATTTGTTCGCTATTTATTGAATTTTTCCCGCAGGGATTTCTTAAAGCGCTAGTCGATTCCCTTCAGAAACCAATTATGCAAAACGTTCATCATTTCCGCCTTCGTATTTCCGCAGAACAACCCGATATTTGCTTTCTGAGCACTGACCTGACATTATCTATGCATCAAGAATCGCTCAAACAGATTAAACCCATCATCCTTGTTGTGTTTTGTTGACATTCACAAACTCCAATATGGCAATAATGTGTAAATATGTACAGATACCAACAACACTTTCCGTTTTCCTTCCTCCTCTGCAAACTTAAGACTTAAATTCTGTGTTTTTGAGTTGTTTGCCGTAAGATTGCCTTCTTGACTTCCTTTACCATTGGTTTTTGGCTGACCTTTTTCCTCATGAAAGATTTGCTTAAGAAGAGAGTTATTTATTTATTTATTCACTCAACTGCAAGTGGGTGTAGAAAGCCGAGTGTGTGTGTGTGTGTGTGTGTGTGTTAGCGTTTCTGTACACAAGTGAAATGTTTTTTTCACAGGACATACTAGCGCTAGCTGAATGTACAGTATTATCGCTTCTTAGGGATTCACCGAACTTCTTCGATGACACGAATGTCTCGCGGTTAAGCCCAGTTTGCAGTGTTGCCTTAACCCTCATTCAAAGCTTGCATGTTGAATCCAACTTGAAGATGGTTTTCCAGGACGGCGATCATCGGACGGCTTGTAAAATTGTGTCTCCCTTTGTACGTTCAGCCAGAATTCTCCACGTTTTGTTTTATTTTGTCTTGGCATACTTGAAGGACGTGTGTTGATCAACTTAAATACAATATTCTCCAAACATTCAGTCCTGTAGGTTTGTGCAATTCATTTGTCCTGTCCCTCCAACAACCGAAAAGAGCTTTAGGAAATTGTGTTGGTGCAGTAATTTGTCCAAAGTTTGTAAGAAAAAAAAAAAAAAAAAGCTTAAAATCGAAAACGTAACGTACTGGTCGTCTGCTTCCTGGGGGGAAATGTACATTTTTTTTTTTTTTTTAATAACCCTCATCTTTGGAATGTTTTACACTTTATTTCCTTTAATATCAAGTCAATTTTCATTCACTTTGATGCATTTTTTCAGATCTAAATTGAGTTTTACAACACTTTTTGTGGTGTAATAATGAAATGATAGTGTTTAAATAGACAATCAAGCGGCAGTTCATATTGGGAAAGGACGTTTTATTATTCGTAATGTTTGTACATATACACTGTTCTTGTTTCGTTGGCTTTTATTTTGTATTTTCTGTTGTACTTAACTGGCAGACCGTTCCAGAAATAAAGGTCTGGAGATATTACAACCGTGTCGAGGAGTTTATTGACATGCTTACATACGTGTGAGGCTTGGATTTTGTTCCTCTGGATCTTTAATTGCAGTAACGCATCATAACACTGATGAGTGATCCATTTGTTTATAGCAAAAAATAATGATTACATTTATATTGTATCTTAAGTGAAAAACTCGACAGCTTCTGTCTTTAAAACTTAAAAAATAAACAATTCATTTTTTTTTTCCAGCTTAGTCTCTTTATTAATCAGGGGTCGCCACAGCGGAATGAACCACCAACTATTCCAGCATGTTTTAGGCAGTTGATGCACTTCCAGCCGCAAAACAACACTGGGAAACACCCATACACTCACACTGCAGCCAATTTAGCCTACCCAAATCCACTATAGCGCACATGTTTGGACTGTGGGGGAAAACTAAGCACCCGGAGGAAACCCACACCAACATGGGAAGAACATGCAAACTTTACACAGTAATGCCAACTGACCCAGCTGGGGCTTGAACCAGCAATGGTCTTGCCGTGAGTCGATTGTGCTACCCACTGTGCCACCATTAAACAACATGTTACAGCTAAAATAAAGTCTTAAACACACAAGACTGGTCTTAAAGTGTATCTGATAGTAATCAAGCTGCAGGTAAATGCTTAACTTTGAGCTTTATTTACGTATAAAAATAAATAAACAAATGTAAAGCAATTATCCACAGCATAGTATTGTTTTCATAAAGACAAGATTGTAACTCCTGACTGTATAATTAGTTTTTGAGACAATTCCCCAACATGTTTTAACGGTTTAACGTCTCATCCGAAAGACGGCGCTCACTGAGCAGTATAGAGTCCCCGTCACTATACTGGGGCATTAGGACCCACACAGACCGCAGGTTGGGCGCCCCCTGCTGGCCTCACTAACACCACTTCCGGCAGCAACCTAGCTTTCCCCTGTGGTCTCCCATCCAGGTACTGACCGGGCGCAGCCCTGCTTATCTTCAGTGGGCGACCATGTGAGAGTTGCAGAGAGCTAGCTGCCGGCCAAAGCCTAAAGATCCATTAAATGTTTCCTAAACATTAATACAAATAAATGTGGCCATTTTCAAAGTTCTGCATTAGAAAAGCAATCATAAACCTTTAAATATGTAATAAACGCACATGAACTTACAAAAAAAATACAAATCAGTTTAATGCACGATTGTGTAGTAGTTAGAAAACAGCTCTTCACCATCATCAATATCTCTCAGTGCCACAAGAACAACACAGCGCAAAGGTCTGAAAGAGAAAAAACAAGATGAAAGAGTAATAAATGACAGAATGTGCCAATATAATAATCCTACAAATGACAGATCTTGCCTTTTACTATCAGCTCTGTAATTAACGTTCGGCAAATACTGACGGAGCTCCAGAGGAAATCCATCCGGCACGTCCAACTCCTGAAAGCAAACATTTGCGGATTTCTCTGTCAATAAAATCACAAATCAAAGTATCGTCGCTGTCACTTTATAACTGTTTATACAACTGGCTCTCGAATCTGATAGTCATGCGGTATTCCCTTAATAACAGCACTCCTACAGCCTCTTCACCCTAGTGTATTACTCCACCAAAAGACAGCAACTCACTACAGCAGGGGTGTCAAACTCAATCCCTGGAGGGCCGAAGCCCTGCACAGTTTAGTTCCAACCCTGCTCCAACACACTTACCTGTAGGTTTCAAACAAGCCTGAAGGACTTACTTAGTTGGATCAGGTGTGTTTAATTAGGGTTGGAACTAAACTGTGCAGAGCTGCGGCCCTTTTGGAACTGAGTTTGACACCTGTGCACTACAGTTTGACAAATATTGCAGCTGTTGGACAACATAATGTACCATTGAGGCTTTTCAGGTGAGAATGTAGTTGTTTAGATTGCAACTGTGCAGTTTATTTATAAGCATAGTGCCTATTTTAAATACTTATAATTTCTGAGAGACAGCGTGTCGGCGGCTGTTAGGCTTTTCATATTGAGCAAAGACGGTTGACGTCCATCCACAAGGTGGCAACATAAGCTGCATAATAAGACCTTAGAGGAGAGAAACTCAGCGAAATTTCATACTACAGCTGTTCAAATCATTATAGAACAGGTGAGTGACTTTCTAAGTTAATCTCTCGCTTTTTTATGTTGTAGTGCTGCATTTTTACTAGGGTTGGGCATCTAAGCTATAATGCCGATCCGATACGCATCTCGATACAAAGAATACGATCCGATATATTAGCGATACATTTGTGACATATTGCGATGCAACACGATACGATTCACACCCATATCACGATACGATGCGATATTTCAGCACTAACTAATTAGATCAAGTTTATGAGATGATGTGAAAGAGGATGCTGTGCCATTGAATGAGTTTGATTATTTATTAACCAAGCAAAACCAAGACTTTTTTTTACAAACTGGCTCTTCTCTCAGAGCCAGAGTGTCAGTTTACAGTAGAGGGCCATTTTAGATAATATAGCACATATTATTTAAGTATTTTCAAGATAAACAGAATGTATAAGTGCAATATATATTAAAAATATATATATATATATTTGCACTCTTTCAACATAAATAAAATTAGCATTGCACAATAAGAATTGTGATTTAACTTTTCAACTATGAAAACAAGTTTTACAAAGATATATTTTGCCACTGATTATTCAAAACTTAAGGTGGTGAACTAGCAGTGTTATGCTGCTTTGAAACATCACTGTCACTGTAAACAACAGGCTAATAAAAATATAACAAACCAGCAATCTTCTTGCTGTGAGGTGGTCAAACTACCCACTGTGCCACTGTGACACCCAATTATTTTTATCATTATTATTATTAATATTATTATTATTATAATTAAATAAAAATTAACAGGAGGTGTTTAAAACCTTCGTTCTCCGTGACACTAGGTTGAATATCTTTGCAGATGAACAATGCAATAGCATTCGTTATTGGCATAGAGCGAGCAGAACTGTTGCGCATGGAAAAAAAAAAAACTTGCAATGCTTTTCTCACCACTTTTGGAGCTGGTTGAAGCAGTGTGAAAGCCGGGGATGCAGAAACACTGGAAGATGCTTCCACAACAACACCGTGGCGCCGCTTCAAGTGAGATATCAGATTAGTCGTACTGCCCGCGTATTTTACAGATGCGCGGCACATTTTGCAAATTGGATCTGTCCTGTCATGTCGTCCATCCTTAAATCCATAATGTTGCTTGCCATACTTTAGATTTAAAACTCAGTGGGGAATAAAATGTTTGTTTTGCTTCTCGCGCTTTCTGAGGGCGCTCCACTAGCTTCATCCGCACACCTGATACACTGAGTTGTAGTGTGTGCACATCCGCAAATCCGTTGCTAAGGCTTACTTTATGTAGGTCGATTAAATTATGCACCAAAAACAGGTTGACAACACTTGTTAATAAATAAAAAATACATTCTATATTAAAAATATAAGCTGTATCTCGGAAAAATCGATGCATCTCGCAAAAACCGATGCATCTCGATTTGCTTCCAAAATTTCATTCATCCTCTGCTGCTGAACCGATGCACTCGCATCGTGAACGCGCATAACCGCGTATCGATACATATCGGTTAATCTTCCCATCCCTAA